AACTTTCTTTGTATATATCCAAATACAGATACTCTTTCTGTTCTTGAAACTATACTTCTATGGCTTTTATTTGAGATCTTGTTTGTTTAATTCTAAGACCATTTAATACTTTGAAATTATGGTTAAACTCAGTGCATGTGTCTGAAATAGTTTGCTTGAGTTATGTCCATTGTAAAGAGCATAAATCTTAATATATACCATGCATGCATAAAATTTTTTTTTGTTCCTAAAACTAGACTCAATTGTTTTTCTGCTGATGTAAGTTTGAATCAATTTGAGTAATGTTTGGTAAGTCTAAGTCTAATTCTAATAGCTAGTATATGTACTGACAATTCCAGTTTGTCCCCCCGGTGTTCTTTTGCATGTAACATGCATTATAAAAATAAAATTTTGATGTAACTCATGGGACTTAGAATCTAATCCATCATATTACTTATATATCAAATATAAGCTCATTTGTAGTGTTAAGCACCCGAAATAAATTATTCATTCCACATAGTAATCTTTATTTTTCTACTGTAGTTTTGATAGGTGTAGTTTGCTGAGAGCACAACTCTTACTATACACTATGCATTGATGTAAATTTTAATATTCTGAAATTAGACTCATAATGGAGTCATTTGGAACTAGTTTCATGCATTTTGGACATTAATTATTATATCATCCATTCACCTAAAACTACTACATGTACACTACTTATGCTATTGTGCATATTAGAAATATTGGATGTAATCATCTAGAGTGTAGCTTATACCATGATATAAGTTTTAAGTTAGAAAAATTATAAAAGGCATAGCGTTTAGAATCTCATGTAGGTATACATGTATGTGTATATAGGACAGAATTTTGGATTCATTCGTTGCCCGAGAAGATCCCAACATAATCGGTAAAGTAACATTTCTTTATCTCCTCTCAAGTCTTTGAGAGTTCGATTGATTACTTCTTGAAATTTCTGTAAGCTGATTTCCTATGCTAAGTTGTATATCTTATCACTTTCGTAATATTCCTATTTGATTCACTACATGTGTAGGCTCTTTGTTGATTGCTTAACCATTATTATCCTAATGTTTATTTCAGTTTTATACCTTCGATATCCTTAAATGATAATATTGCAACAATTCAACTTGCTTCGATGATTCGACTATTGATAATGATAGTATTCCTCTCTTTATTGATGATAAATAGTCTATATTCATGGATTATGCCTTGTGTGATGTAAGCTTCACTTGTGGGTGGTAATAGTAATGGGTCCCGGTTGGGTCAATGTTCTGTGTGAGGACGCTCACCGGTGAATGTATAAAGGCATGCGCGGTTTATTAATTATCCCATGATTGGGAGTTTAGAATCCTGAATATGAGACCTTGATTATTCATATTTATATGTTATTTTATTTCGATCAATGATCATGATATAAGTATGGCAACTTAATATTGAGATCCCTTTGTTCAAGCTCGAATATCTATGTCTATCCTTTTCATTCATCCCCTTATGTTGTACTTGAGATTTTTATAGTTACCAATTGGGTCTTAAGCTCACCCCTATTGTTTCTATATCCATACCATCAGCAAGGATAAGGGACTTGCAAACCCTGAAATTGAAGATTAACTCTGGGAGAAAAATCTTAGTAGGAGTTAATTTATATTCACTTTTGTAGTACTTTTGACTTATCAAATATGTACTAATGTTTGTAGCTACTACTATTATTGTAATATTTTGTTGTTCCCCTTAATTTTTTCTATTCTGGTATTCTATGGACTATGTTGTCAACCTTGTGATCTTGAGTATTGCATATACATCTCCACTGTTTTATTTTACGCCCTTCAGTATATCTCTATTGTGATGTGCATAAAGATTTAGCAGGTCGACCCTTCTTATTACAGATAGGTCATGCTCAATTTTTTATGTACCTCCCTGAGGGGCGTTACACTGTAGACTATAAAAACTACCTCAAGAAACTACCAAATAATTTAAAGGATTCAGCTTTATCGAGACGGGTCACTATCAAGTATTTTCTCCCATAGTAACTTGCTTCTTTCTAGACAAAATAGAAGTAAAGCACAATGTCGAATGTTGAGCAGTTACATGACATGCTGGTAGCAGTCGGGAGGTAGACAGATTAGTGTCAACAGGAAACTCCATGTATATGTGTGTGCTTTCTACTCATGTTTGTGCCAATTAATCCAGTTTGACAGTTTTAAATGTTTCACTGCCAAGGACCACCTACCTTATTGTTATTAGCAATAGGATGGAATACAAATGCACAGGAAATGTTTGAGCATATATATATGTATAGTCCGATAAAATTAGTCACAAAATCAACCAGAAGCAGCCATTGTGTATATTTCTAAAGGGTACAACTGGTGATGTCCTAAATATATGTTACTTAGATGGAAATCTCTACACAACTAACAGAAAAGGAAACTCCTTAGACAATAGGCATTGTTGTAACACTGACAGCAAAAATATGAAATCTACTAAGTAGAACCACATAGTCAACTTATTGCTTAAGTGTTGGAACATTATGGTCTATACAGAATAACTTCAGCTACTTGCATGGACATGAATGAAGCTACCTAGAAGTTTCTATATACAGACGCACACAAGGACCAAAGTAATCCCAGTAATAACATAATTTAATACAAAAACAATTTAACTTCTCAAGATGGACACAAAAATATTTGAGCATTTGTAAAAGTAGATAATATCCAATAGATATATCGCAAGGTTGTTGGGTGTTGTGAAAGATAGTTCTGTTCCATGATCATCAACAGCCAACCCCATAGGAACTTGGCATTTTGACTGGGGGGTTCCGAAGTTATGTGTACTAGGTTTTTAGCACCTTTATGCTTATGCATAACACTGAACATGTCAAAATGGACCATACAGTGTGTATGCGTGAGTGCACGCTCAAGATGCACAATATGAAACCAGTTGATTTTCCCTTCTATTTAACTTAACTATTTCCATATTCTACTTCAAAATATATTTGAGCTTAATAAGTGTTATATATCAAAACAGGCTAAACCAAATGAATTTTTTGGGAGGGATTTATTGAAGATCAGAGTGACAAGTCGGGGGCATGTAGCAAAGTTTTCTTCTCGCTCAACCAATTTTTAAGCTTATACAGGCCCATTCTAAAATTTTAGGAAAGAGGAGGAAAAGAGCAGGAACCCAAATCAAAATTCAATTGGGTAACAAAATGCTTCTATGCATGACATGGAGTATCAAACTAATGCACAAATTCCCACAAAAATCCAAAATATTGGCTGCCAGTGTACAAACACCTCATCAATATCCTCTTAATTCCCAAACAAAATATTCACACTGAAGAAACTCTCCTCTTATTAACAAAAAAATTCCCTCAATCCCCCAGATGAGCACCTTACAAACAAAGCTCTGATCCATATGACCTTGCAAATTAAACCTAGAACTGTGAACTCATAGCGAGCTGCAGACAAGACTTGAGTCTGTCAGAGGCCACTATGGTACTAGCCCCAATGAAAAGAAAATTTTGGCGGAGATGATGTCGTATGAATGTGGATAAATGAAGTCCAAACCTAGAACCATGAATCCATCGAAAACTCCCCTATGGACTTGCAGGTATCAGCAAACTATTGAGTATAAGAAAAGATGTTGTCACACCCCCACCATGGCAACACAAACTCACAAATGAGAAAGAGATTCGGACTCCATAGGGGAAAGCTGTATCAATGTGTTCGAGAGGAGGATCAACCTAGTAATAGGGATGAACAAATAAAAATAGTTTGATCCATATCCAAATCTAGTTCTGCAACCATGATTGGAGAAATATGCGCTTCAAGTTTCATCAATCTGAAACATGGTTGCGAACATCAATGCTAAACTATTTGCAATATTTGAATAATCAAATACATATCCGAATAAGTGAGACGAATGCTAATACATATAGATTGTTATTTTTGTAGTATAACAACATGGTGGAAACTACTTGGATCTTTTTACCTTATAAGGAACTACAGTTAAATGTCAACTCATTTATCTTTCATGTGGTAATGTTAAATATTATCTGCTTCCTATCCATCTAAATCCCAAATCATTTTACCAACAAATAACAAGGGAGTCCAGCTCAAACACCCCAATAACTAACAAGTCATTATGAAAGAATACAGGTCAAAACTTGGAACTTGGATCAGGGAGACATTAAAGATGGCTGATTATAAAGGGAGAAGATTGAATTGAGAGAGAAGTAGACTCTTTGCGATATGGATCCCAATATAAGCTGACATATTAAATATAAACATCTTATATCTGCCAGCAAAAAGGGAACAAGGAAAAACATGAAAGTGTATTTACAGTGTTATTGTAGCCATTTCCCTAGTAGCAGAATGACTTGTCATTAATGATTATTGGCTTCTCTCCAAGGTGACAGATAATGGAGAAAAGGACATGAACAGACCTTCCTCTGCATTGGAGGGACATGGGGAGGATTTTCGCTCACCCAAAAGTCATAACCTTCCCTCCACCATGAACATATCATTAAATGTTTAGGAATGTATTGCTGCATATTAAGCTTTTCCTTTGGCAATTGTAAAGCTTCATGTTTGGATTAAAGAAGAAATAAGGGAATTTTTTAATAATTTAACTAATACAGTTATACATTGAATCTGGAAGACATCTATGGCCATATCCGAAGATGACACTGCCGTATGATTGTATTCCCCGGTATATTTGTTTTAACCTACCAAGTATATAGATACTTGCTAGGTGTTCTGACTCTTTAAAGAAAACTAAATGGAGGATGTTCAAAAAATAAAATATGTGATTTAACAATACAGCATTCCTTGAAATGCCGGCCCCAAACGTAAATAAGTTAAGTTCAAGACAGAGAGTATTAGTCGCAGCGTAGTACAGAATATGCTCCAATAACCATATTCAATGTAAAAAAGAACGACTACAAGCAATAAGAACCAAATATAAGTTCATCAAACTTGTGAGAAAAACAAAAGAAGCAAGTCTTTCACCTGAAGTGGTAATGCCCAAGCCCATGCTTGACTCCCCACTTGAACTCCCCAACATACCGGCTCCCATCCTCGCACGTATGAACACCACAGCCATGGCTCTGCCCATTACTCCACCCACCGGCATACACATCCCCCGTATAAAACCGATAGACACCAAAGCCGTGTCTCAACCCCTGCCTATACTGCCCTCTATATCGACTCCCCCTCGCCCAGGTCTCCACCCCATACCCATCATACTTGTCATCAACCCAATCCCCCTCATACCTCCCACTCATATAGTAATAATACACCCCGCTCCCGGAACACTTCCTTCTATGAAACTCACCCTCATACACATCCCCATTGTTATAGACCTGTACCCAAGATCCCGTATTGGGCCTCTTATCCGATTTGGGCTTCTCCGCGGATCCGATGGACCAAAGGATGGGCTTTTTGGCAAGGCAGCGGTAACGGTGATAACGGGGAAGGATAAGAGACGAAGATCGAGTGAGGAGGAGGCGGAGAGAACGGATCGGGACGATATTAAGCGAAAGGGAAAGGATGACCAATAGCAATGAAGAAAGCGAAAGAGCAACGAGGAAATCTAAAAGATAAGAGTTCGAGCTTGAATTTGAGAGGAAGAGGTAAAGAGAGGGGAAAGAGAGGAGGAGGAGGAACCGAACACGGACGTGGAGCTGCCGGAGGAGGTGGCGGAGGGCGGCGGAGGAGGCGGCGATGAATTTGGGGCTAGGGCCGTTGGAGCTAGGGTTAGGGCGAAGGTTGAAGGGGCTGGGGTTAGGGTTTGGGATCGTTGGGGTCATGATAGGGCGCTTGTGGGGGGTTGACAGAGGAGAAGAAACATGGTGATTAGGGTTAGGATCGAAGGGATTAGGGTTAGGGTTAGGGATTGCGATGTGAATTTGGAGATTGGGGCTGAAATCGGAGGAGAGACCGTAGCTTTCCTTGCCGATCTGAGCTTCTGATTTCTTCTGATGCATTTAACGGCGCCGGCAGCACTGATTGCTTTCGATCTTCTTCATCACCCAAAAAAAAAGGAGAGATTTTTATTCCTTTTTTTTTCTTTTTTCTTGATCTTTTCCTCCTCTGTTTCTGTTGAGAGGGCGCGTTTGTGTGCTTTTTAGGTAGAGAAACAGGAAGAAGAAGAAGAAGAAGAAGAAGAAGAAGGGGGAGGTACGGGGGATGAAAGGGAGTGATGAGTATTTGTTTGTTAAGAATAAGGGAAAAATGTGTCCAGGCCCCAAAAGTGGGAACTTCGTGTGACTAGCCCCCTTGTACTTTGCCCCATGTGGAATAGCCCCAAAAAATGGGCTTTAATGTTTTAAGCCCCCTCCACGTCAGCTTTATACTAAAAGCAGATGGTATTTTACAAAAAAACCAAAACTGCCCTTCTCTTTCTTCCCCAGACGAGTCCTGGAAGTCACTTCTCATTAATGCGATATGATGGTGAAAATGGAGGGAAATTTCCCCCTTTTTTTACTCCATCTAACTAGTTAGTTCTCCATTACTCCTCCTCCTCAGACCAAAATTCTCTCCATAACTCTCTCCATCATGAGCAATAACTAGTTAGTTCTCCATTACTCCTCCTCCTCAGATCAAAATGGCTAAAAAGGACATCATCTGCATTGTCTCTTCGCAGTATAAAGCGGTATTCTTGAAGATTAATTCTTCAACCACCATCTTGGATCTCAAGTTTGATGCGGCAGAGAGGTTAGATCTTCCATACGAGTCATTAATTTTGGCATACGAAGATCAAACAGTTGGAAGCTTAAAATTTCTCATTGAGAACGATGGTGATCTGACGTCTATGGTGGAGCATTGCCACAATCTTGGACTGAAAGAGGTTCACGTGCAAGCTTTTAAAGAAGGAGATGATTCTTCGAATAAACAGGAAAACGAGCAAGTCCGACAAGACATGTAGGTTAACTGTAAAATCAATTAACTTAAGTTCTAATCGTCTTCTTGTTAGTTCTATACTAGGTTTAACTGGACTTCAGTTCTAATGTTTTATTTGTCATTAAGCAGTTCTTTGTTATGCTCCATACTAGAGTTCTAATGTTTTATTTGTCAGTTCTAATCGCTATTTTGTTAGTTCTACTAGAGTTATTGCTGGTTCCACTATAGTTCCCATATTGTTAGTCCTAATTGTTATAAATTAGATATAACGTGGTATAAATTAGACAATGTAGGTATAAAATAGAACTAACAAGCCATCAGTTAGAACTGACACTAACACACTACAGATTAGAACTAACACTGTGCATATTATTAGAACTAACACGCTACCGAATAGAACTAACACTGTAGGGGATTAGAACTAACACTCTACAGAATAGAACTAACACTGTGCAGATTAGAACTAACACTCTACAGAATAGAACTAACACTGTGCAGATTAGAACTAACACTCTACAGAATAGAACTAACACTGTGCAGATTAGAACTAACACTCTACAGAATAGAACTAACACTGTGCAGATTAGAACTAACACTCTACAGAATAGAACTAACACTGTGCAGATTAGAACTAACACTCTACAGAATAGAACTAACACTGTGCAGATTAGAACTAACACTCTACAGAATAGAACTAACACTGTGCAGATTAGAACTAACACTCTACAGAATAGAACTAACACTGTGCAGATTAGAACTAACACTCTACAGAATAGAACTAACACTGTGCAGATTAGAACTAACACTCTACAGAATAGAACTAACACTGTGCAGATTAGAACTAACACTCTACAGAACGGAACTAACACTGTGCAGAATAGAACTAACACTCTACAGAATAGAACTAACACTGTGCAGATTAGAACTAACACTCTACAGAACGGAACTAACACTGTGCAGAATAGAACTAACACTCTACAGAATAAAACTAACACTGT